TGATGTAGCCTGAAGGCCCTGGCAGAGGCCAAGCAGCTGTGAAGAAACCAGTGACATAAAAAGGCTTTTCCAGTGCTGCTTTGGAAAGTGGCCAGAAGGGTGGCACCAGTGTGTCCAGAACGAAGGGGAGGGTTTCGAGGCACTGTGTCTTTACTGTAATACTTTCCTTAAAAAGTAAACATTTGCTTGTATTTTTATCATACTTCACAGTGGTTATCTCTCTGGGTAGGCATGGTAAGAACGCAGTATCTATTGTCTTAGCAAATTGCAGGTCCGTGGTATGTTACTATCACTGGGCACTATGCCCTGCATTAGATACCTGGACTTATTTATCTCACATAACTGTAACCTTCCTCATCCCCCTTCCCACCTGCCCATGGTAATCCCTGTATCCTTGGGCTTTGTTAGTTCTTTTTAAGTTATAAAAGTAATTTGGCCAGCATGGTGGCACACACCTGTAATCCCCACACCCCGGGAGACCAAGGCAGGAGGACTGAAAGTTCGAGTCCAGCTGAGGAAGCTTAGTGACTTAGTCAGAACTTGTCTCAAAAAAAATAAAAAATTAAAAAAATAAGACGGAGGCTGTAGCTCAGTGCGAAGGCTGTAGGTTCAATCCCTGGTACTGCAAACAAACCAACAGACTTGGAAATGCCATGAGTAGGTTGTGCTTTTGCTGGTCGTTTCCACTGTCTTCTCTCAGTCCACAGCATCCTCACGTGGGAAGAGTGTGAGGCAGTCATGAGACCCATCGCCTGGGCCCAGAATGCTCAGTGCAGCACTGGCCACGGCCCTCTGGAAGTTAAACCAGAGCGAAACACAGCAAAGTCACTGGGAGCACAGCAAAAGCATCAACGCTATTGTGAATGCAAAGAGTGCTCCTGACAAAGAGGCCCCAGGAAGCACACTCTGACTACGCACCAGATCTGCAGGCACCTCGACCTCAGACTTCTGGCTTCCGAAACTGTGGGAAAGAGGTCTCTGCTGTTTGTAAGCCCCTCACCTGATGGTATCTTTTTTTACACCAGCCCCCAATGACTAAAGCAACCTGTCCTCGATCCCCTTTCCCCCAAACAGTTCTACAAAGCTCCAGAGCCCTGCTCCCTTTGCCTTTTGTGGAATGACCGCCCATGTGGTACTCTATGGTTCTTGTTCTTAGTGTGACCATGTCGGATTAACTGGCTGTGTACATGAATTTTTCTCCCTGGGGTTGAAGGGAAGGACCTTTCCCCACCGTTGTCACCACTGTGCATGGCATGTGAAGTGAGTACTGACAATGTTTGCTGTATCAATAGGTAAAGTTGTTTAAAAACAACCCCTAGGGTTGCTTAAAAATGTGGTGCTGGACAATGGACACATTACAGTGGGGAGGTCCAGCAGACCTGGCTTTAACCAAAGAAAACTACTCAAGCAAAGTCCCTGATCCGGAGCCGAAGGACCCAACGAGGCCCTCTGAGAAGGACACCTGCTCCGGTACTCAGCAGCTGGAAGAGTTGGGGTGGAGTGGGGGGATACCTGCTTTACGTCTTCGAATGGCTCCAAAATGCGCTGAAATAGTGAGACAGAGAGCAGACACTGCAGACTGTAGACGGCTGTGAATCTAGGTTAACTATATACCTGTGCATGGATCCCTTCTTCCAGCTCTCCTCATGCTTGAAAACGCTCAGACTAGAGACCCTGCCCGGGACTAGGGAACCCGATTTAGGGAGACTGAGCTCAAGTTCTGGTGGGTGGGGTGTCCCAGGAGGCAGGGACTTCGCGGGCTCAAGGAGGCTCTGCCTTGGAAAATGAGCTGCCATGTGGGGTCTGGCGTTGGTCTGTGGACTCAAAGCCCGGTTGGCTGGAGAGACCCATCTCTTCTACGCTCCCCTGCGCCAATCTCTCGTTAGACCCTTCCTCTCCTCTCTCACTTTTTGCTTCCTGGCCGTGAATGGAGCGATTTTGTCATGCATTCCTAATCATCATGTCCTCTATCTGTCTGTGTCTTTCTCTGTCTCTCTGTCTCTCCCCTAATAAAGACATCAAGTTTCAATCTCAGGGCCTCCACCCAAACAACTATATATAATCCTGCTCACCTCCTAAAGGCCCCTCCTCTACATGCCACTGTCGGAAAAATTTTCAGGCATTTACCTCTCATGATGGGAAATAAATTTCAACACATAAGCCCTTGGAGGACACAGACTATGTCCACCATCAGTGTGTATAAGGTAAGGATCCAACTCAATTCTTTTGCATATGATTTCCATGTCTTGAAAAGACTGTGTTTTCTTCACTGAATGGAAATATTTCTGAGCTCTCTTGTCTATTTCATATGTTTGGATTTATGCTAAGCAACATTGTTTTGACTATGTCAGCTTTATAATGTGTTTCGAAAGCATAAAGCATGAGATCTCCAACTTTCTTATTCTTTTTTTTTTTCCAAGAGTGTTCTGGCTGTCAGGTCCCTTGATATTCCATATGAGTTAAATGATGAATTTTTCTGTTTAGACCAAATTTAAATCCAAGCCAAAACAAAATACCGTTCCAAGCCAAAACTAAAATATGCAATTGAAAGTTTTGGTTAAGATTGCATTAAATCTGTAGATCATAATGGGAAGTATTAACATCTTAACCACACTAAATCTTCCAGCCAATACACATAGAGATCATTCAGTTTATTTGTGTTTGTTTCTTTCAATAATACCTTATACTTTTCAGTGTATACTTCTCCTACCTCCTTGGCTAAGTATTTTTATTCTTTAAGATGCTTTTATAAAGGAATCGTTTTATTAGTTTCTTTTGTGAATTGTTCATTGTTAGTGGACATAAGTGAAATTAATTTTTAGTGATTTGGTAACACAAAACTTTACTGAACTTTCTTTTTAAGTCTATCAGGGTTTGTGCATTTCTGTGTGTGATTAAGGTTTTTTTTTTTTAACATAAAAGACTATCAGCAAGTAGAAATAATGGAACCTTTTTCCTGTATGCTGGCCTTTTCCTTCTTTCTCTTGCTCAGCTGCTCTTTATAGTGATATAGGATTTCCAAATGATACAAGGGAAATATTATAACTCCCAGCCTGATAGATGTCTGATAAGCTGAGTCCATGTCTGTCAAAAGTCAAAGAATGAGTTTTGAAGAACAACAGAGGTTAGCTGTAGGAAATTTTATTGAAGGTGAAATAGCTCCTGCCTGAGAGAGGGAAGGGACCTGGAAAGTGGGTTGCTGAGGATCTCAGTTTCTGGAGGAAGTAGGGCAAAATCACAAGGTGGGTCAATGTGGGACAAAGCCATGGTCAACCAATAAAATTTGAAGTTTAGCTGCTTAGGTAATATTGATCCAATGGGGAACAAGTCACATACCAAGTGTACATGGAGAGAACAAGGACCTTCTCAGGAAGGGATGGGTCTGGGGCATCTTGGTCACCCACCAACGTGACTGATGCCTGTCTGGACTTTATTGGACAAAGCGAGGTCTTGTGTGCAAAGATGCCTCTCCAGCCACCGCTGTAGTGCGTTTTCATCTCTTCTATTGACTGCCACGAGGTCCTAGCCCTGTGTCACTGCCTGCAGTATTTCTACCTAACTTAGTTGTCTACATGGAATACAAGTGGTGAAAGCAAGCATCTTTTTCTTGCTCCTAATCTTGGAAGAAAAACTTTTAATCTTTTGTCTTTGGATAGGAGGCTAGCTGTGGACTACTCATATATGGTCTTTATTTTGTTGAGATAATTTTCTGTTTCTAATTGAGCGGTACGTTTAATCACAGCAGGGTGTTGGATTTCCTCCAGTGCTTTATTTGTAGTAACTGCGATGACCACGTGGGTTTATCTTTCTACCTTCCCGCTCTGTAATGTGTTACAAGTGGTTTGTTTCCATCTGTTGGACCATCTTTGCATTTGAGGAATGAGTCCTACTTTCTCACATTTAGGACCCTTCCACTTGCTGTTGAATTCTGTTTGTTAGTGTTCTGTGGAGGAATCTTGTGTCAGTATTCATTAGGCATATTTACTTGTAGTTTCCTTTTCTGCAGTGCCTTTAGTTTTGGCCATGGAAAATGAGTTTGGGAGTGTTCCCTCCACTTCCTTAGCGTTGGGAAGCATCTCAGGGTGATTGGTGCTAATTCTTCTTTAGATGTTTTTCCGAATTCTTCAGGGAAACCATCTGGTGCTTGACTTTTTCTGGTTGGCAGAATTTTGAGTACCAATTCAACCTCCTTCCTAGTTATAGGTCTGTTCAGATTTTCTGTTTCTCTATGATTCACTGAAGGTAGGTAGTGTGTTTCTAGGAATTTACCAGATTCATCTAGTGTCTCCAATTCGTTAGTGTACATGGTACTTTTAAAATCTGCTTTGTTTCTGTAACATTGGTTAAAATGTCCTCTCATCTCTGATTTTAGTCTTCTTTCTCTTTTTCTTAGCATACGTGACTAAAGGTTTGATTTGTTGATATTTAAAAAAAAGTCTTTTGAGCCAAGCATGCCTGTAATCGCAGCCTATCCTGTAATCTCAGCTACTTGAGAGAGTGAGTCAAAAGGGTCATGAATTTGCGGCCAAGTGAATGAGACCCATCTCAGGAACACAGTAAAAGGGCCGTGGGTACAGCTGGGCAGTGGAGCTCTGGGACAGAATGTGTAAGGGTAAGGGTTGTGGTCATCAGTACTCAAACAAACCCAAAACAAAACCCCCATCTCTTGTTTAAATCTTTTTTTTTTTTTGGTCTTTTTCGGTTTTTTATCGGTACCAGGGATCGAACTCACGACTGCCTGCTTGCAAGGCAGGTGCTTATGCCACTGAGCTAAATCCCCAGCCCCCTGTTTAAATCTTGTTCTATTGTTTTTCCATCCTCTATGTTGTTTAATCTCTATTCTAATATTTATTGTTTCCGCCTTCTTGCTAGTCTTGGTTACATTTTCTTATTTTCCTTGTTCCTTGAGGTTTAAAGTTGTGGTCCTTTTTCTTTTGTAACATAACTGCAACCGGTACTGCAAAATGGATCTTTTAAAGTTCATTTGTTTTCCTTTGCAGACAAGTGGCTTCTGCAGATTTCCTCAGGCCGAGGGCAGTCATGGCCCCTCCACTTGTCCTCAGCCCAGATGAGTGGACAGAAAATGTAGGCGCTACCCCAGAAGCCAGGAGCCCGCTTCCCTTTCCCTGAGGAAGTGGACACCGAGCTGAGGTGAGTGGGAGTGGTGAGCCCAGTGTGGGGTCTTCATTATGGAAGATCCTTGTACGCAGTATGATTCAAGGCTAGTGGATTTCTCCACCTCCTCAGAGGCAACTTTGAATAAATCCTTTCCCCTTTTTACCAAAATAAATGGTCCCTTTTTATTTGGTTGACAGTGAGCTGAAGAACCTGGGCACATGAACCTAAGTGGCCAGTCACTTAAACTTTTAATACTGTTTCTGTCATATCCTATAAATCTTGGAATAGTACATTATAATTTAGTTTGTTTCAAAGTAATGTTTCCCTTAGGATTTTTTTCCTTGACCCATTGGTTGTTTAACACTGCACTATTTAATTTCTCTGAGGATTTTCCAGTTCTCTTTCTGTGACTGATTTCTTTTTTCATCTTATTATAATTGGAAAACAAATATTTCAGTCTTATAAAATTTATTTAGGCTTGTTTGTGGCCTTACATAATGAGTATCACAGAGAATGTTCCATGGACAGTGAGAAGATGGAATGTCCTGTTAGATCCAGTTAGTCTTCTGTCTTGTCCAAATTTCTCTTTCTGCTGGCTGCTCTACCGGCTTCCACTAGTTATTGAAACGGTGTACGATGCTTCCTTCTCTTACCATGGAGCGTCCACTTCTCTCTTCAAGTCTGCCAGCATGAGCTGCTTATGTTTGGTGCATGTACGTTTATAATTCTTGTTATCTTCCTAGAGAATAAACTCTGCCATTGTTGTATGTTTTTCTTTGTCTCTCAAAGCAGGTCTTTAACCTAAGGTCCATTTTGTGAGACAAAAGCACCGTCACGCCTGCTTTCTTTTTTCTTCTATTGGGATGAACTATTGTTTCCTTCTTTTCACTTCAGTTCTCATTTATGTATTTATTTTTTCCTTCCTTTCACTTTCAACCAATGCTTGCCTTCACATTGCAAAAAGTATTTGAGTAGTATAACGTTTTTAAATGCATAAAATAAAATTCACAGAATGACAAAGGCAACCAATTATAACAAAACACACCATATACCAATACTGGTGCTGGTTCGTTAACTCACAAAACACCCGCAGTAGTGGTGGGAGTTATTACTGCTGTAACTTCGAGGTAGTAAAAATCATTAATGACATTTTTTTTTTTTACTTTTAAAGAGAATAAAACCAAACAAAGTAAAACAGAATAAAGCCAATCAAAGCAAAATAATGGAAGCGATACGGGACTTCAGAACAAGATAATAGGAAATCAACAATTGCTACCATAACATATCTTGATATCATCAAAATAGCTATCTATTAATAGCTGTGATAATCAAGTGTTGCTGGCATCCACAATTTATTGAAATGCTAAATGCAAATCAACAAAGACTCATTTTCGCCCATTGGAGACCAGGAAATGACCATGTAGATGTTGTGGACTCTTGTACTACATCACTGAACCTAGTCTGACCAAGCTGTCCTGTGGACCTGAGCTGTGACCAAAACATACAGTGGACATTTAAATAAATGCATTACACTAGAAGACATGTTCCCACGACTCTCACTCGAAATACTCCCCCATGCTTCATTCAATACACTTACCTGACCCTTCACACCGCCATCTGAAGCAGTTCTGGAAGTCATCTTCGGCACTATCTTGGCGAGGAGACAGACATGCAGTGCCCGGTGCTGCTGACAGCCATCCAGAGGAGAGGCAGCTGTTAGGGCATCACGGTCCCACCCACATTGCTCACTGGCTGCACCCTGCAACTTCCACCCCTTCCCCTGAGGGAAAATGACCTACGTTTAGTGCCCACGCAGGACACTGAGGCAGACACTACAGTTCCCTTCACCACAGGTTTTGATCACAGTGCATCTGAATTCGTCTGTATTCTATTCTCTGCTGGTTAATGTTGCTGGCAGCATGAGCACTCCGTAGTGTCAAATAGTGATTGTTTCCTTGGAACCAGTGTCTGATTTAGTGAGGGAAGCTCGAGGGAAACGCTAAGTACAGCTAAATGTTACTTAATGGCAGCCTTTGGCGGAGGTAGGGAGGTGGTCACGCAGAACACAACAGAAATTACACAGTGCGAGCTTAGAGTACTGCAGGTGATTACAGTACGTCAGAATATTTCACATCGGTTGGGCACTATTCAGCGACAACGTTACGATCGTTACCAGTCAGTCCTCCCATCCTCTGAGCTGGAAAGGGAGCCCTCAGGTAAAGCTAAAGGGAGCCATACTCCCCCAACCCAGGTTTTTGAACATGCTATTTATTGCTGGTTTGATAAAATCTTCCAGGAAAGCCCTATCAAACCAGGGAAGCCTGTAATTCTGAGGTCACACAAAAAGCGCTCGACTTTTTTGAACAAAAAAATTTTAGCTTTCTTTTTTATATATTATAGATGAATATTTGACACCAGTTTTCAATGTTCATTGCGTGAATTAATTTTCTCAGCTTTACACCTATCATTTCGTGGGTGTAGACTCTAATCCCCTCTCTAGATGGGAGACAGCGAGCTCCCATCTTTTTTTTTTTTTTTTTTTTGTCTTTTTGAGGCAGGGTCTCACTATACAGTTCAGAATGGCTCCCAGCTCACTTTGTAGCCCAGGCTGGTCTCGAACTTGCAACGGATTCTCCTGCCTCAGCCTCCCAAGTGCTGGGATTACAGGAGTGTGCCACCATGCCTGGCCCTTGTTTTTTTTTTTGTCTTTTTGATGTCTACTTTTAACTAAGAGATGGAAAGTACCCAAAACTGAGATCTTTCACTGCAAAGCTTAGTGTTCTCGACACAGTTCCTCAGAGAGCCTACAAAAAACATAGCATGCTTCCGTTTTAAGGCAAAAATAATTTCCTCTCATTTTCTAAAACTGTAGATCCTTTATTTTACTAACTCTTTTCCTCTCTATCTCACCCCGTCCAACCTCAAACAGCTGGGCTGCAGCAGGCCAGGGAGCTGGCCTGAGGGTATGTCTTACATGAGGAATGGGTGATTTCAAGGGCAAATCCAGTGCTGGGACTGTCAGAACACAAATGACTTTAGACCAAGAGATGTCTTTTTGGGTTTTAAAAATTAAAAATAGGATTTCCTAGTACTTTTTCTTAGAAGATATTTTTAAAGCACGACTTACATCATATTCAATCACTTTTAGGACAACCCAGTCCTAAAGGATTCCTGCACCTCCAAGCTACCAGTCAGTCTCCTGTGGTCCCCCAGGGCCCAGACCCAGGCATCTAGCACCCTGCTTTCTGTCTCCATGTGCATCTCTCTGAACGTCTCACTTAGAGAGAAGCACGTGGGTAGGCTGTTGTGTGTGGCTTTATTGCAGTGTGAGGAGTTTTGGGGCCCATCTATGTTGTAGCAAGTACCGATGGCTTGTCCTTTTTTGTCACAGAGCAGAATTCCATTTATGAATGGTCCATGGACATTTGAGTAGTTCCTGCTCTTGGGATATGATGAATAAGGATACCATGAATATTTGGGCACAGATTTCATAGTACGGTTTTCTGTTTATTGTGAGTAGGATCTCAGCATTGGAATTGTCTGATGGACAAGTAATTCTATGTATAACTTTTATGGAGGGTTGTTTTGGTATGTGAGGGATCAAGCCCAGAGCTTCCCACAGGTTAGGCAAGTTCTCTCTCATTGAGTTACATCCCCCAGCCAGAGTTTAACCTGTTAAGAAGCAATTAGACTTTCCCCAAGTATCTGTACCACGCTGCATTCCCACTGGTTTGAGTTTCTCAGTGGGTAAGCAGCATACCCTGTTACTCCAGTGTGATGGTGGGGGGTGGGCATTGCCAGCAGAAGTACCCAAAATATCCGGTCACCATCAGCGGAACCAGAAGTGCATACTGCTGCGGAACCACCCATGTGGCAGATGTGTGGCAGATGCTCACCACACAGACAGACAATTGTGAGACACTATCCAAGAGCTCAATTCACCGAGCTCCCTGGGAGTCTGGTTTACAACATAGAATGGTCAAAATCAGGTTTTTAACAAAGCCTTTCTTTTTCTTTGGTGGGATTTCTATAATAATACTTGACCCCCAAACCTCCAGGTTAGTGTTATGTGTGCACACAGCCTCGAGAGCAGAGCAGCTCTATGAGGAATCCTTTCCCTGTTCCTTCCTAACGGATTTATGCCAAAAATGGACACCTTTTGACTTTTTGCATGAAATTTATACACACTTCCTAGAAACTTCAAGGAGCAAGGGTTAGAAGAGAACACATTTCATTATGTTCCACTGTTCTAGGCATTCCAAAATGGAGCACGAGGCACTGGAGGGTTAGTGCCCATGACCCAGCTGTGATGAATCCAATGACTCCTTGGAATCAACTAGTTCCTGGGAACCTACAATAAACCCTCACCACACGTGCACTCCCCAGCCTCCGAGTCTCCCCACACATTACAGTTATCTCCTGTGTTCAAGGAAAATTGGCTGTAGGACCCCTGTGGATACCAACACCAGTGGCTGCTCAAGCCCCTGTATAAAAGGTTTGTGGTATTTGCATACAGCATATGCATACAGTCCTGTACACTCTGAATCATCTCTGGATTGCTGGTGACATCGAGCACAAAGCCTACATATCACTTCTCTCAGGCACAAAGCAAATTCAAGGTCTGCTTTTTAGAACATTGTGAGAGTTTTTAGAAAAATTGTTTCATCCCGAGATTGTTGAATCTGTGGATGTAGAACCTATGGATGGGGGGAGGGGGCACCTGCAGCCTATGTTTTAGCTCAATTACCACTAGCGTTTATGTGATTCTGATTATGCAAATTTTACTTGGAACTTTGCAGACTAAGGTTATTTTCCCTTTTGTGCCCTGTCGGTGTCGCTCCCGGCCGGCAGGAAAGACACACGACAAGGTCTGGCAGTGGCTAAGTCTTTCTTTATTTTCCCTCCGTACAGTCTGCCCCGGGATCCTACCCGGCCGAAGCCTCAACCGGTCCGCTCCCCGCGGCTCCTTCCATGCTTCTCCCTCTGGCGGGAGAGGCACTCACTTTTATAAGGTTACAGTGGCCAATCAGTTCAAAGCGCGCGATGCGGGCTGATTGGCTAACATCAGTTGTTGCTAGGCAGACTATCTTACAGAGCGGGTTGTTTACCAAGCAGGAAGCAGGAGACAAGCGCCATCTTAGCACACTCGATGGGAGGGGTAATCTAGCTCAGGCTTTGCTCTTTCCTACAGGCCTCACGACCGCCGCGCATGGCGAACTATCACAGACGCGGCTCCCAACAGTGCCCAATTCTTTACATTCCTTCTAACTGAAAGGTTACTTCTCTTTATTTGTTTAGCATGCATTGTGTCTGGTCTGTCACTTTTGTAACCCCAGGCCCCTCTGGGGATCTCTGCCTCTCACCACAGTCAGGTTCACACTTCTCAAAAGGGGCCCCGTGGTCCTCTGCTTCCTGAAGTGGTCTCAGGGTCTCTCCACCAATGCCCTGAATCAGCTGGCGGGGCAGCTAGGATCCCGCACCTCTGGGGAAGATGTCCTCTAGGATATAGAGGAGCACGTTCATGGGAGTTAACTGAGAAGGGAGCACGTATTCTTCAGACTTTGAATGTCTAAAATTGTCTTTGCTGTCCTTCATCCTATAATGACTCTGGCTGGGTATCACATGGGGGCCAGAACCCACCGCCCTGATGCTCCTGAAGGCATGGCTGCTGAGGCTGTATTCTGCCTGACTTCCTTCCCTCCTTTTTCCTCCTCCTTCTTTTCTCTCTCTCTGTCTCTCTATGGATTAAATCCAGAATCTAAGTCACTAAGTTGCCCAGGCTGGGCTCAAATTTATGATCCTCCTGCTTCAGACCCCCAGAGTGCTGGGATTACAGGCTTCCAGCCTTTCTAGTTCTCTCTCTCTCTTTTTTTTTTGTTCACTGCTTTTCACTGCCTTTCTGTGTTCTGCCCATTTTGTGTCATCTAATTTCTTACCCCTTTCCTTCAATTTTCTATCACTTTGTATATTTACTTTGCATTTTACTATTTCCTCAAGTTTGCCATAGTAGCTTTGTAGCTATCCTGCAAAGTGCGAATCCTTTGAGTTCTCTTACTTTGCTCTGGAAGATTCTTCTATTTGAAACATGAATTATTTTCCTGGTACTGTTTGTTTCACAGCCTCGCTGTTTCTAAAGTTCATCAAAGCCTCCTCCACTATCCCATCTCACCTCGCTGGACCAGCGTGTCAGTGGCTCCTCCCAGGATTTGCTCCGCCCCTTTTCTCTGTGCAGCAGGCAGTGACCCACCCATCTCCCTCAGGTAGTAATAAAACTATTTCATACTGGGTCTGCATGCTCTTGTGCTTTGCCTGGTCTCCATGGCAACAGTGTGGGTTGGTGTGAGGCTGTGTTTCTGTTCTCCCTTGGCGGAAGTGGAAGTGGCAGATCTAGAGTGAAGACCACCCCCCACCCCCACCTTGTGGGACTGCTTTTGTAGGACTGTGGACTTGGACTGGCTTTGGTAGGAATCCCTACTCTGCCACCTGCTAGCTGCATCACCCTGG